GCAGACCATGAGGAAGATGAACCACCTGCATACTAGAAGAATTAGACAACTTCTTGGAAACGTAGAGAAGTGGCTTTAGAGATTTTTGTCCATCCCTTATGTGGACATGTAGCCCACAAAAGTTAACCAGGATCATCAAGAAATGTCATTGATCATCATGGTGAACAGTGGGAGCACCCACAGATTCCTGGTTCTTTAAGGCGCAGAACAAGGAGGCTAAATTTAAGAGCCCACAGCAAGTGTGGCAGATTGAAGTTTAGTAATTAACACTAAAGATCCAGATTTCTAACAGGCAGTGCGGATCAAAACAATATGAGGCAGAAATGAGAATTCTGCCATTGGTAGCTTGCGACAAGGTACCAAGGATGGAGAGACAATAAGGGATCCATCTAGGCTTTCATGTCTCCAGCTTAAGAAGAAAACTGGGAAACCTATCCCTCCAGGGACTCAACTACCATTAGCAGGAAAGGAAGGTCGACTATTAGCAGATTCTATAGCCATTAGAGGGAGAAACTGCCTGGCACTTAAGTGCTATTCCAAGGGTAAATAATACTAGAAAATGCTACTTGAGAACATAGATTATGCATTGCAACCTAATTTCCTCGTTTTTGTTCTCGAGGACACAGTATGGAGGGATGAGGTCCATTGTCATTTTCTAAAGAAGTAAAGAAGAGTTAACAATAGTTGGCTGCTATTCTTGATGCTGATGTCATGCTAAAGCTAGCTGCACAACTAAGCCTACGCTTTGACTGGTAAGTGCCAAAGTGGTGAGTGGCTACTTCTGCTGCTTCACAAGAAGAACGCTGAAAACGGATCTACGGACCTATGCTTTGACTAGGAAGCTCTTGTCTTAATTCTTTAGTTGATGCTATTCTGCGTTCATGGACATAAATTTGAATGTTTGATTCGAAGTTGTATTATTCCAACGCAACACCATATAATCAGAGTAGGCTAGAGTTTTTGATATGGGCAGTTGGGAGAAGTTGGTTTAGTACTTGATTGATTACTTTGCTGGCAGCGTATGATTTCCAATGAAGATTGAGAAGTTCTTCTTCTTACCTAAGAAAATAATACCCAGCCAGTAGCTCCAGACCGGACTAGACTAAGTGTGACGCTGATTGGATAATCAAAAAGGGTAGGCTGGCTGGAATTGAAGACTGTTTCAGTTCTCAATAGCATTTCCATCGTTTGGCAAAAGATATAAATTTTTTTCAAAAAATAAATCACAAGATTACCAATAAATCTCAGAAAACAACAGAAAATCCAAAATTCAACTTGGATAAACAAGTAACACAAGAAAATAATAAATGAATTACACAACGTTGTATATAAAAGCAAAGAAAAACACTAAACAAACTTACCCAATTGATTACCAAGACCGTAGCGCTTGATCTCCGCCATGAACTCAATATGGGTTGCAATCACTGTAACCAGAAGCAGCAGAACCAAGCTGAACTTGTATAAAATTCACTCAAACACAGACACCAAAAAGTTGAGCCTCCATTGAAATGTAAAAGCGTGTGATGAAGACTGCAAATAAAGGGGGAAACTTTTAGGGTGAGGAGGGAAATAAGGGAAGGTTCTGAGGAAGGTGAGAAAAATTCAGCAGAAATGGAATGGAATTAAGGAGGACAGTAACTTTGTTTTTTTTTTTTTGACTCGTCCTCACTCGTGTGTTTGTGTGTAGTGTATGAATGAGAAGACTGTTCATACTTTTCGTATATAAAACTTGGGCCACTTTTTTTGACGTAAAAATTTGGGATCGTCTTCGCCTATCGGGGACTTCCTTTCTTCCTATGTCTTGTCCCTTTAAGTATTTTCAAAATTGGTTTCAAATTTAGGGAGTTTTAGTTTTAAACTTTTTTTTTTGTTTTTTAATTTGTATTTTATTAAGAATGCATATGAGAGAAGTTTGAGAGAAACATGAAAAAGAGAGAGTGATTGAAAGAGAAAACGTGGAGTGGAGAGAGGTGTCCTACTACATCTTATTTAGATTCTACAATATCTTTTAGATAGTTTTTAAACTATAATGTATAACTTGAAAGTCAAGTAGTCTTCATTCCATACTACAATAAGTAAAAGGCATAATGATGTGAGATAATACACATCACATAATTCACTAAATTCTCTCATTTTTCTTTGTTTGCCGCACTCTTCCTCTCTATTATAATTCTTCAGTTAAATATACCGACAACACGTTATCAACACATTTTTGACGTTGCATTAAAGAGAGTAAGTCCATCTTTAATGAGGGAAGTGTTACGTTTCTACCATTCTTATTATGGTTCGCTTATTATAACAGAGGTTCTGGATTTTTTCATAGACTCACCTTCACAAGTTGGGGTTTCTTCAAAGGTTCTAAATGAACCAACCTTATCAACTCCAATCCAAGCACATTTTTAATCCACATGAAATCGAGCGCTCACACCCTTCACCACCTCCCTCTCTCTGCCTCTCTTTCCCCACCCATTCAACCCTCAATCTTCGACAAAAACACACCCACTGAATTGAAAAAAATAAAGGTACATGATTTACCAACTAACAAAAAAAAGGGTATAAGATTACCAAGTCACAGTCGCAATGCAGCTTCAATCCACCTCAAGTCCATTCCTCACCACAGCTCCCCCTCTTTGCCTTTCTTTTCCCATCTCCAACGAAAGATACCCACTGAGTAAAAAAAATTCTAATTACACCGGGTCACAACAACCTAGTTCTACTCGTGAGCTCGTCCCTTCTCAGCCTTTAGATTGTCATTCGTATGGATGGTCTACACTCTTCGTCCGCACATTAGACACGCCCTTATAGAGATAGTTTCTAGATTGTAATGTATAACTTGAAAGTCAAGTAGTGTTTCTTCTTTACTACAATAAGTAAGGGCATAATGAGGTGAGATAATACAAACCACATAATTCACTAAATTCTCTCATTTCTTTCTGTTTGCCGCCCTCTCCCTCTCTATTATTATTCTTCAGTTAAATATACCGACAACACATTATTAACACACTTTTGACGTTGCGTTAAAGGGAGTATGTCCATCTTTAATAAGGGAAGTGTTACGCTTCAACCATTCTTATTATGGTTCACTTATTATAACAAAGGTTCTGGATTTCTTCATAGACTCACATTCCCAAGTTGGGGTTTCTTCAGAGGTTCTAGATGAACCAGCCTTATCAACTCCAATCCAATCACATCTTTAATCCACATGAAATCGAGCGCTTACACCCTTCACCACCTCCTTCTCTGTGCCTCTCTTTCCCTGCCCATACAACCCTCAATCTTCTACAAAAACACACCCACTAACAACAACAACAACAACAACAAAGCCTTTTCCCACTAAGTGGGGTCGGCTATATGAATCCTAGAACGCCATTGCGCTCGTTTTTGTGTCATGTCCTCTGATGAGTAGTTTTTATATTATATATTTTACCCTAATCTTAGTATATTTTGGTTAATATATTGGAAGAATTTTGATACTTTGAATTGTATTTTCAATATAGGACTTTCGACTTCCTCTAGAGCAAAACAGGACCAAATGGACGAATTTTGGAGTAATTCCAATTGGAGGACGTTCGTGAGTCACTTAGCTTGATCGTATCAAAATTTGGGATTTTTTCACCAAGCGGTGGTTTTCTGGCGATGAAATAAAGAAGCAGTGCGCAGTGCTGGAAAGTGACGTTTTTGGGCTTAAATTGCGTTTTTGGAGCCTAAGATGACCTCGGATGGGTTCGTGACCTTCTGGAAAAGTGTTCAGAATAGTCCAAACATTAAATCCAGCTATATTGGGCCAGTTTTGGAGCAGCTTATGGGCCAAAACGTGGCTGTTCAGTTTTTAGACGAATTTTATTATTTAATTTAGGGTTTTGTTTGCTAGGGTTTGTGTGGTGGCTTAGCAAATATATTGCTTGGCCGTCTACAGTTTTTGTGGTACGCTTTATTTTTATGCAATACTGGAGACAGAGAGAAGTTCTAGGGTTTTGAAGATTTTTTCTACTTGAAGGTGTTTTCAATCCTTTTCTTAATAGATATTTCTATGATTTCAATTATGAATATGCGGAACTAATTTCTTTTGCTAGGGCGAAGCCTTGAGCCTTAGCATGAATATGTGATTTTTATTTAATTGCTTATGATCGATTGCATGCGTACTTTGAATTGTTAATCACACCGGGATAAAAACTATCTAATTGTCGTAATGCCTGATCACCATTAGGATCTTTAGAAAAGTAATTTGATGCAATTTTGGTCGGAAGGTTCCCTGAAATTGACGCTGGCTTCTTGTGATTAATAATTGTAATTTCTCTTAGGATGAATATCACGTCTTAAGGATTGCATGGTTTTTCAAAGGATTTTCATAAAGCATAATGAGTCTTTCATGTTCATATTTGATCCGAACGTCCGGACGGGTTGCATGTTAGATATACATTCTATGTTGGAGGTTCCAAGTAGAATATGAATTAGGAAAATCTAACCTTCAAAATGGCATGTGTAGATCATAAGTAATTGGTAAGAATTCATAGGATTGTTAGGTGATGGTGGAACCCTAGTGCTTTCTTAATTTGATTTCTCTCAAAACTGTTTTCTTTTCTCTCTAGTTTTAATATTACAGATTGTCTCATCATTAATTCATTAAATTCGTTTTTACTTTAAGTAGGTTATAAAATCAATCATCAAAATTTCTACTTTACAATCATTAATTGAAATCTGGTTTGTTTCGATTTATTTAATAATCCCTGTGGAGAATGACCTTGCGAGATCCATTTATACTACAATAACCTTGTGATTCTTGCAAGTAAAATAGAAGGTTTTTATCGCATTCACATGAGTAGTAAAAATCCTATCAAGAAAATGGCGCCGTTGCCGGGGATTATTTAAAATAATCCCTACGAATCAGATTTTCAATTAGTATTGCTGTTTATACATATAAAAAAAAACAAAAAAATATTTAATTTTCATTTTCATCTATTTTTACAGATTACAACAGTACAGATTTCAGAAATCTGTGCATGGTCAGCACCCGTTCAACAGTGCAAAAATTGATTCCATTTGATCCAGAATTTGAACAGCATTTAAGGAGGAAACGCAGGGAACAACATTTGCAGCGGGTTCGTCCTCTGCAGGAGAGGTTTCTGGAATCAGTCTTTTCTGGGAACCTGCACAACAAAGAAAAAATGGCGTTTATAATTCCAGAGGCAGGTCTGCCCCTGGGTGATTCACTGACTGCCCATACCACAAATATACCCAGTTGCATCACATATCCGGCAGTGGAGGAAGGGACAGCATTTGAAATAAAACAGCACATGTTGAATATTCTACCTACGTTTCATGGGTTGTCATCTGATGATCCTAACATGCACATTGCAGAATTTTTAATGGGGTGCAAAAACATTTTGGTGAGAGGATTTTCAGCTGAATCTATTAAGCTGCGGTTATTTCCATACACTCTAAAAGATCAGGCAAGGAGATGGCTCCTCACACTCCCATCAGGAAGCATTACAACTTGGGCCCAACTCAGTGAAAAATTTTTAAACAAGTATTATCCGGCTTCTAAGACCCTTGACATGAGAACTCAGATTTTATCGTTCGCTCAAAAACCAAATGAAGAGTTTCATGAGGCGTGGGAGCGGTTCAAAGAGTTGATTAGAAAATGTCCACATTCGGGTATTAACACTACTGATCAAATGCACATATTTTTCAGAGGGTTGAATATGACTACAAAAACTCTTGTCAACGCTTCATGCGGAGGTACGTACAAAGACAAAAATGCACAAGAGGCGTGTTTGTTATTTGAAAAAATGGCAGAAGATACTCAGCAGTGGGCAGTGGAGCAGCCACAATCTAGGTCAGCTTTTGAGATGTCGACTGGTTCTCCATATGTTACAGCACAAATTGAAAAAATGGAGAAAAGGCTTGACGCAAAATTTGACATGTTATTACAAAGAATGCCAGGTTCTCAAGTTGCTGTAAAGCAGCCCTTACAAGCTGCCTGCAGCATTTGCAACATGATAACTCACGATTTTATGAGCTGCCCACATAAAGATGTTTCACCAGATTTTACAGCAGAGCAGGTTAATGCATTTAACAATTTCCAGCGGCCCAGATATGACCCATATTCTAATTTCTACAACCCCGGTTGGAGAGATCATCCTAATCTAAGGTGGGATAAGGAACAGCACACTAGACCACAATTTCAACAGCAGGTACAACAACCTGCTGCACCTAAGGCTGCTTGGGAGGTTGCGATTGAAAAATTGGCAAATACCACAACTCAAGAAATTCAAAATCTGCAGGCATCAATGAAAAACATGGAAAAACAAATAGGGCAGATTGCTTTGCAGGTTTCTGGTAGGGCACCAGGTACATTTCCCAGCCAAACCGAACCAAATCCTAGGGGAGGTGCTGATTGCAAGGCAGTTAGAGTTTTACGTTCCGGAAAAAGTTATGATAACAAGGATGAATATTGCATTCAAAATTCGCGGGTGGATTCACAGCCAAAAACAGATTCAGGGAATGTTGAAAAATCCGACAATTCAAAAGATTCAGATCAGCCGGTTATCAGTTCTGAAAATAGCGCAGAAGATATTGTTGAGGATCGTGTTTATGAGCCACCTATGCCGTATCCCGAGCGGTTGAAGCCTAAAGTTAAAGATCAACAATTGACAGACTTTATGAAGACTTTGTCTAAGGTTCAGATTAATCTGCCGTTAATTGATGCCATCAAGAACATTCCGTCTTATGCCAAGTTTTTGAAAAATGTTTGCACAAAGAAAAAGAAGCTTGTTGATTTTGAGAAAGTAATTCTTACAGAACAGTGCAGCGCTGTTCTGCTTCACAAATTGCCCCCAAAGAAACAAGATCCAGGGAGTTTTACAATTTCATGCACAATTGGAAATTCTCATTTTAAACGTGCTTTAATTGACTTAGGTGCTAGTATTAATTTAATGCCATTTTCTGTTTTTCAGAGACTAGGACAAGGAGAAATAAAGCCAACATCAGTTATTCTACAACTAGCGGACCGATCGGTTGCTTATCCAAGGGGTATTATAGAAGACCTAATAATTAAAGTGGATAATCTCTATCTTCCTACAGATTTTGTGATTTTGGATATGGATGAAGATATGCAAACACCGATTATTTTGGGACGTCCCTTCATGGCTACAGCCAGAACGTTAATTGATGTAGAGGCTGGGACACTTACACTTAGAGTGCAAGATCAATCTGTTGTGTTCAGTTTATTTGAAGCTACCAAAAGGCCAGGTGATGAGCATGACTGTATGCGTGTTGATGTGCTTGACAGCATATTACATGCTGAAATTATGTTACGTTTGACATCTGATCCATTGTTAAATGTGTTGCACGGGTTTGAGACTAAATATACAGAAGATGAAGAGGTTTTTGAGTATGTTTCAGCTTTGGAAAGTGTTCCTTTTCAACCTCCACGTTGGAGACACGTTTTTGAAAGTTTGGGGGAACCCAAAAAGCTATTGCAACCTTCTAAGGTACAGCCACCTAAACTGGAGTTAAGGGTGCTTCCAGAACACTTGAAATATGCTTACTTGGGTGCAGATTCTTCGCTGCCAGTTATTATAGCTGCTGATTTATCATCAACAGAGGAAGATAAATTGTTGCGCATTTTAAGGAGTCATCAAGATGCAATTGGCTGGACTATAGCTGACATTAAAGGGATCAGCCCTACAATTTGTATGCACAAAATTCTGATGGAGGATGGAGTAAAACCTGCCATTGACGCACAACGTCGGTTAAATCCGATTATGAAAGAAGTGGTTCGTAATGAAGTTATGAAACTTCTAGATGCTGGGATGATCTATCCCATTTCAGATAGTAAGTGGATTAGTCCAACTCAAGTGGTGCCTAAGCGTTCTGGTATTACAGTTGTGAAAAATGATAATAATGAACTTGTGCCTACTCGCTTGACTACTGGGTGGCGTATGTGCGTTGATTATAGAAAGATCAATGCGGGAACTAGAAAAGATCATTTTCCATTGCCTTTCATTGATCAAATGTTGGAAAGGTTGGCTGGTCGTGCTTTCTACTGTTTCTTGGATGGCTATTCAGGGTACAACCAGATTCCTGTTGCCCCTGAGGATCAAGAAAAGACAACCTTTACTTGTCCTTTTGGGACTTTCGCATATAGAAGAATGCCTTTTGGTTTGTGCAATGCGCCTGCTACGTTTCAGCGTTGCATGATGAGCATATTTACCGGGTTAGTTGAACATGTAGTTGAGGTATTTATGGATGATTTTTCTGTTTTTGGGGATTCTTTTGACCAGTGTTTGCAGAATTTATCTTTAGTTCTGGACAGATGCATTAAGACCAACCTGGTTTTAAACTGGGAAAAGTGTCATTTCATGGTTAGGCAGGGAATTGTCTTGGGCCACTTAATTTCTAACAGGGGTATTGAAGTTGATAAGGCTAAAATTGATGCAATTGAAAAGTTGCCACCCCCGACAACTGTTAAGAGTGTTCGATCTTTTCTTGGCCATGCCGGGTTTTATAGACGGTTCATCAAGGATTTCTCCAACATTAGCCGCCCATTGTGTAATTTATTGGCTAAAGACGCTCCTTTCGTTTTTGATGAGGCTTGTGTGGAGGCCTTCAAGAAGTTAAAGACACTCCTCACTACAGCACCCATTGTTGCAGCTCCTAATTGGAGCTTACCTTTTGAACTGATGTGTGACGCATCAGATTATGCAGTGGGGGCAGTTCTTGGACAGCGCACAGATAACCTTCCCCAAGTTATTTATTATGCTAGTCGAACCCTCAATGATGCACAACTAAACTATGCTACCACAGAGAAAGAATTGTTGGCTATTGTTTTTGCATTGGAAAAATTTCGTTCGTATTTATTTGGGGCTAAAGTGATTATTTATACAGATCATGCAGCTTTGAAATATTTGTTGTCTAAGAAAGATGCTAAGCCTCGATTGATACGTTGGATTCTTTTATTGCAAGAGTTTGACTTGGAAATCAAAGATAAAAAGGGTCGGGAAAATGTGGTGGCTGACCATTTGTCTAGATTAACTATTCCCACATCATCAGAAGAGGATTCCCTTCCACTGAGGGAGAGTTTTCCAGATGAACAGCTATTTGCAGTCCAATTCCGTACACCATGGTTTGCTGATATGGTTAATTATTTGGTTAAAGGGGTGGTGCATCCAGATTTAACGTTGCAGCAGAAAAAGAAGTTTCTTTCTGATGTGAAGCATTATTTCTGGGATGATCCAAATCTATTTAAGTATTGCCCAGACCAGATTATTCGCAGGTGTATTCCTGAAACCGAACAGGAAAGTGTTTTAAGGTTTGCTCATCATTTTGCTTGTGGGGGACATTTTGGGCAGAAAAGAACAGCAGAAAAAATTTTGCAGAGTGGGTTATTTTGGCCTACACTTTTTAAAGATGCATACAATTGGTGCAAGGCTTGTGATAGATGTCAAAGAGTCGGCAACCAGTCCAAAAGGAATGAGATGCCCCAGCAAAGTATTTTGATTGTTGAATTATTTGATGTTTGGGGTATTGATTTCATGGGACCATTTCCATCGTCCCATGGAAACCAATATATTTTAGTTGCTGTGGAGTATGTTTCTAAGTGGGTCGAGGCCATTGCAGCACCAACTAATCAAGGATCAGTAGTCCTGAGGTTCCTCCAAGGGGTTATATTTCCGCGTTTTGGAATTCCACGCGTTATTCTTAGTGATGGGGGGAAGCACTTTATTAATAAGTCATTTGCTAATTTGTTGGCAAAATATGGGATTAATCATCGTGTGGCTACACCTTATCATCCACAGACATCTGGTCAAGTGGAAGTTTCAAACAGAGAATTAAAACGCATTTTGGCAAAAACAGTTGGTTCTACACGAAAAGATTGGAGTTTAAAATTAAATGATGCGTTGTGGGCCTACAGAACAGCTTATAAAACTCCTATTGGGATGTCCCCATTTCGACTCGTTTATGGAAAAGCATGTCATCTACCTATGGAGCTTGAGCATAAGGCGTACTGGGCAATTAAAGAGTTAAATTTTTCATATGACTCAGCCGGAGAGCAACGTAAACTGCAGCTCAATGAGCTACAGGAAATTCGTCGGGATGCTTATGAAAGTTCTCGCATCTACAAGGAAAGAACTAAGGCGTTTCATGATAGTCAAATTTTACGCAAAGAATTCCAGCCAGGGCAAAAGGTGTTGCTATTCTATTCAGTTCAAGGCTTAAGTTGTTTCCAGGGAAATTGAAATCTCGCTGGACAGGGCCGTATTTGGTTACTAAAATCTTTCCTCATGGGGCAGTTGAAATATCTAATGGGGCTCAAGGCAACACATTCAAGGTGAATGGTCACAGGCTGAAACCATACGTGGAGTCGCCATTTGATACGGGATACGAGTCTTTGACTCTGAAGGCACCAGTGATCTAACCACCAGACTTCCGCAACGTCTAGCTACAGACTTAAAATAAAGCGCTTATTTGGGAGGCAACCCAATTTTTCTAACTCTTTCCTAATTTTAATTTTTGTTTGATTTTCTCATTAATATATATATATATATATTTTAAAAAAAAAAAAAGCATACATAAATCATTAAAAATATAAAAAACGAAAAAAAAAAAAAAAAAAATTCAAAAAAAAAAAAAATTGAAGATTGCGAGTTGATTTTATTTACCCATTTTATTTTTATTTTTATTTTCAATTTTTAACGCATATTGGTTAATTGCAGGTTGCGAACGTGGAAAATAAAACGCGTCCTATGCTGGAATCCTGCACCCAGCAGCAAGTCTATCGTTCACATCAACCACATCTACACTATGCTGGAAATTGAAAGCAGTCCACATAAAAAGCCATTCACATATGCAAGTTTGGGGGTGATTGTTGCAGATCCAGCACATAAACAGAATTTAGAGCAGTTAATTTCTGCAGCTCAGTTTTGCGATGCATGGAGGAAGCACAATTAAATCACAGATCCATACACCACAGAACTGAGTACAGATATTATTACCAGATCTACAACAACTACACTTGCAGGGATTCGAATTTTACCTCCCAGATGCATCGATCTGGGTCATGCGGCCTGTGCTATTTTCCTCCGTTGCTCTTGTGTGTTTACTTCTGTGTCCTTGGCTCTATCATGGATCCGTATACCCCTACATAAAGACCAACAATATGAGTACATACAGGTTACATATGGCATTCAAATGAACTGTTGTTGAACTTGTAAATGTTGAGCTTAGCAAAAGCAGACGAACGAGATCTGTACCTATATGACATACAGAGGCCGCGACAGTTGCTGTTGATTTTGCTTTCTGGGACTATTAGACCGGCAGCTTAAGCTTGTTTTCTCACGGGTGTATGCTGGATTTGAGTGTTATTTTTCAGTCACAGTAGGGGTTATTTTTCAAGTATCAGATCATAGTCCATTAATAAAAAGGGTTACGGGTTTTACCTCAACATTTTTAGATCCTTGGTTGAGCTGAGCTGCTGACTCCGGGGGTGTTCTTGTGTTGTTGTCTCGGATTTGAAACCATTAGGGCTCTCCACACTGATAAAACCACATGCAGGTGTTAGTGTTTGTTCCAGATCTCTCCAACAAATAAATTGGACACTGCAACCACAAGATTGGAGGATGATTTTACCTTTGGGTTTCCGTTTTTTCCGATTTTCCATCACGGCGGGGTACTCACGGAGGTGCGTTGTTGTTGGGTTATGGAAGGCTACGGATGCATCAATCTGCGAGGAAACTGAGACATACACAGAACAATCAAATGCATCAGTCACAAACATTTTCATGTTACTCTTGGTGATGAAGTTAGCAGAAATGGAGCTACATCTTTACATTTGAACGAACAAAAGGAGAAATGGCATGGCTTAGTTTTTACCTGCAAAGGGAGGAAGAAGGACTTGCTTTGACATGGAGAGAGTAAAAGCATTTTCAGACTTTCTAGAGAGAGCAGAGCTAAATTGAGGAAAGGAGAGAAAAATGTGAGAGACAGAGAGGTCCTTTCATTTTAGCAAAATGGGGTCTGCGAGAAAGAAAGAGATATGGGCAAATGGATTGATCTTCACTCTTAATTTCGAATCCTATGGAGCTACCCTTCTTGATGCCTGACACGTGTGCGCCTCATCTGTTTTTTATGTTTCCCTAGGGCACGGTTTGGAGAGAGCCGTTTGGGCTCTGTGATTGCTGATTGACAGCGCCAGACAACAACTCTGCACGCCACTTTCCCCTTGCATGCCAGCTGCGTCCCATTCATTTCGCAGGGGATCCAATGTTCAAAGCACGCCACTTTTCAAATTGCATGCCACAATGGAGTCCATATTCCCAGGTGCTTTCTTGTCTCATTATTTATTTATTTTTTATTTTTATATATCATGTTCTTTATTATGTTCTTTGTCCTGACGTCTTTGTCCTATTTTGTTAATTAGTCATAGATTTAGTTCGTTTCCGTTGTAATATAAAATTTTCTTTGGTTTTGTTCCTCATTTTCCCTTCTATAATTCTTATATGTTAGTTTAAGTTTATTTCCTTTTTGTCATTTTTCTTTTATTTTTCACACCTTGAGGACAAAGTGTGACATAAGTTTGGGGGTGGGAAAGTAAATTTTAGTTTTTTTTATTTGTTGTGTCCGTTTAAAAATTTTCATTATTCCTAAGTTAATATCCATAGAGTATTTTAAGCGTTAGAACAAATGGACATGGTGAAAGTTAATCCCACATTAGAGTCTTTTCTATTTATCGTTGCTTAGACACTAATTCATGAATTATACTTTGAACTTTGCACATCACACCAACATGGTTTGTGGGGAGTGAGATTGAAATACTTGCTTTTAGTCTAAGTTTATTTTTATTTTTTATTTTTTATTTTAAGTAAAGTCAGTTATTAGTGTGAAAAAAAAAAAAAAATAAAAATAAAGTAATAATTGTCTCACCCGAGGTTCTGCCTAGTAACCGGGCCAGTCCTGCCTAATCAGCAGTGATTCTCGCGTCAAACGGTAGAGTTTTGGCATGAGGCAGGGTGGTTAGTTGGTTTCGTAGCCTTTTCAGCTCGGGTTAATAAGTCCTTAGGGGTGTTCTACACCTAGTGTCCTAAAGCCCTAGTGGTTTGGGAGTCATTGACCTAAAGCTCGCTACATGGGTTGGATCGAAAGCTTAAGTAAACCGACATTGCACGACCACTACTGTTACTAGAGAAAAAAAAATGTTTATATATAAAAAAAGTGAAAAGAAAAAAAAAAAGAAAAAGAAAGAGAGTTATATTTAAAGTTACTATGTGTGAAATAAATAAGGACGAGAGGTAAGGGTTTTAGTCGAGTCTCCTTAATTATGTTGGTTCACTTTACACACCAAAGGAAGTTTGTGAATTCTTTTCTAATTGATTCTAAATGGCTTAGACTCTGTGATGGGATTGGTTGGAACTTTTGAAAAGATGTTTTAGTTTTTAAAATTTGCTATGGATTGCAACTTTGAAGGTGAAAATTTTTGTCAGTTAATTTTAGCTAGTTAGTTTGTTAAGTTTTTATTTTTGTTTGAGTCTTGTTTTGCTTGAGGACAAGCAAAAAGCTAAGTTTGGGGGTATTTGATGAGTAGTTTTTATATTATATATTTTACCCTAATCTTAGTATATTTTGGTTAATATATTGGAAGAATTTTGATACTTTGAATTGTATTTTCAATATAGGACTTTCGACTTCCTCTAGAGCAAAACAGGACCAAATGGACGAATTTTGGAGTAATTCCAATTGGAGGACGTTCGTGAGTCACTTAGCTTGATCGTATCAAAATTTGGGATTTTTTCACCAAGCGGTGGTTTTCTGGCGATGAAATAAAGAAGCAGTGCGCAGTGCTGGAAAGTGACGTTTTTGGGCTTAAATTGCGTTTTTGGAGCCTAAGATGACCTCGGATGGGTTCGTGACCTTCTGGAAAAGTGTTCAGAATAGTCCAAACATTAAATCCAGCTATATTGGGCCAGTTTTGGAGCAGCTTATGGGCCAAAACGTGGCTGTTCAGTTTTTAGACGAATTTTATTATTTAATTTAGGGTTTTGTTTGCTAGGGTTTGTGTGGTGGCTTAGCAAATATATTGCTTGGCCGTCTACAGTTTTGTGGTACGCTTTATTTTTATGCAATACTGGAGACAGAGAGAAGTTCTAGGGTTTTGAAGATTTTCTACTTGAAGGTGTTTTCAATCCTTTTCTTAATAGATATTTCTATGATTTCAATTATGAATATGCGGAACTAATTTCTTTTGCTAGGGCGAAGCCTTGAGCCTTAGCATGAATATGTGATTTTTATTTAATTGCTTATGATCGATTGCATGCGTACTTTGAATTGTTAATCACCGGGATAAAAACTATCTAATTGTCGTAATGCCTGATCACCATTAGGATCTTTAGAAAAGTAATTTGATGCAATTTTGGTCGGAAGGTTCCCTGAAATTGACGCTGGCTTCTTGTGATTAATAATTGTAATTTCTCTTAGGATGAATATCACGTCTTAAGGATTGCATGGTTTTTCAAAGGATTTTCATAAAGCATAATGAGTCTTTCATGTTCATATTTGATCCGAACGTCCGGACGGGTTGCATGTTAGATATACATTCTATGTTGGAGGTTCCAAGTAGAATATGAATTAGGAAAATCTAACCTTCAAAATGGCATGTGTAGATCATAAGTAATTGGTAAGAATTCATAGGATTGTTAGGTGATGGTGGAACCCTAGTGCTTTCTTAATTTGATTTCTCTCAAAACTGTTTTCTTTTCTCTCTAGTTTTAATATTACAGATTGTCTTATCATTAATTCATTAAATTCGTTTTTACTTTAAGTAGGTTATAAAATCAATCAATCATCAAAATTTCTACTTTACAATCATTAATTGAAATCTGGTTTGTTTCGATTTATTTAATAATCCCTGTGGAGAATGACCTTGCGAGATCCATTTATACTACAATAACCTTGTGATTCTTGCAAGTAAAATAGAAGGTTTTTTTATCGCATTCACATGAGTAGTAAAAATCCTATCATCCTCCGTTAGATCCAAGTACTCTAAGTCTTTTCTTAGGGTCTCTTCCAAAGTTTTCCTAGGTCTTCCTCTACCCCTTCGGCCCCGAACCTCTGTTCCGTAGTCACCTCTTCGAATCGGAGCGTCAGTAGGCCTTCTTTGCACATGTCCGAACCACCGTAACCGATTTTCTCTCATCTTTCCTTCAACTTCGGCTACTCCTACTTTACCTCGGATATCCTCATTCCCAATCTTATCCTTTCTCGTGTGCCGACACATCCCACGAAGCATCCTAATATCCGNCAGCACATAAACAGAATTTAGAGCAGTTAATTTCTGCAGCTCAGTTTTGCGATGCATGGAGGAAGCACAATTAAATCACAGATCCATACACCACAGAACTGAGTACAGATATTATTACCAGATCTACAACAACTTACACTTGCAGGGATTCGAATTTTACCTCCCAGATGCATCGATCTGGGTCATGCGGCCTGTGCTATTTTCCTCCGTTGCTCTTGTGTGTTTACTTCTGTGTCCTTGGCTCTATCATGGATCCGTATACCCCTACATAAAGACCAACAATATGAGTACATACAGGTTACATATGGCATTCAAATGAACTGTTGTTGAACTTGTAAATGTTGAGCTTAGCAAAAGCAGACGAACGAGATCTGTACCTATATGACATACAGAGGCCGCGACAGTTGCTGTTGATTTTGCTTTCTGGGACTATTAGACCGGCAGCTTAAGCTTGTTTTCTCACGGGTGTATGCTGGATTTGAGTGTTATTTTTCAGTCACAGTAGGGGTTATTTTTCAAGTATCAGATCATAGTCCATTAATAAAAAGGGTTACGGGTTTTACCTCAACATTTTTAGATCCTTGGTTGAGCTGAGCTGCTGACTCCGGGGGTGTTCTTGTGTTGTTGTCTCGGATTTGAAACCATTAGGGCTCTCCACACTGATAAAACCACATGCAGGTGTTAGTGTTTGTTCCAGATCTCTCCAACAAATAAATTGGACACTGCAACCACAAGATTGGAGGATGATTTTACCTTTGGGTTTCCGTTTTTTCCGATTTTCCATCACGGCGGGGTACTCACGGAGGTGCGTTGTTGTTGGGTTATGGAAGGCTACGGATGCATCAATCTGCGAGGAAACTGAGACATACACAGAACAATCAAATGCATCAGTCACAAACATTTTCATGTTACTCTTGGTGATGAAGTTAGCAGAAATGGAGCTACATCTTTACATTTGAACGAACAAAAGGAGAAATGGCATGGCTTAGTTTTTACCTGCAAAGGGAGGAAGAAGGACTTGCTTTGACATGGAGAGAGTAAAAGCATTTTCAGACTTTCTAGAGAGAGCAGAGCTAAATTGAGGAAAGGAGAGAAAAATGTGAGAGACAGAGAGGTCCTTTCATTTTAGCAAAAATGGGGTCTGCGAGAAAGAAAGAGATATGGGCAAATGGATTGATCTTCACTCTTAATTTCGAATCCTATGGAGCTACCCTTCTTGATGCCTGACACGTGTGCGCCTCATCTGTTTTTTATGTTTCCCTAGGGCACGGTTTGGAGAGAGCCGTTTGGGCTCTGTGATTGCTGATTGACAGCGCCAGACAACAACTCTGCACGCCACTTTCCCCTTGCATGCCAGCTGCGTCCCATTCATTTCGCAGGGGATCCAATGTTCAAAGCACGCCACTTTTCAAATTGCATGCCACAATGGAGTCCATATTCCCAGGTGCTTTCTTGTCTCATTATTTATTTATTTTTTATTTTTATATATCATGTTCTTTATTATGTTCTTTGTCCTGACGTCTTTGTCCTATTTTGTTAATTAGTCATAGATTTAGTTCGTTTCCGTTGTAATATAAAATTTTCTTTGGTTTTGTTCCTCATTTTCCCTTCTATAATTCTTATATGTTAGTTTAAGTTTATTTCCTTTTTGTCATTTTTCTTTTATTTTTCACACCTTGAGGACAAAGTGTGACATAAGTTTGGGGGTGGGAAAGTAAATTTTAGTTTTTTTTTATTGTTGTGTCCGTTTAAAAATTTTCATTATTCCTAAGTTAATATCCATAGAGTATTTTAAGCGTTAGAACAAATGGACATGGTGAAAGTTAATCCCACATTAGAGTCTTTTCTATTTATCGTTGCTTAGACACTAATTCATGAATTATACTTTGAACTTTGCACATCACACCAACATGGTTTGTGGGGAGTGAGATTGAAATACTTGCTTTTAGTCTAAGTTTATTTTTATTTTTTATTTTTTTATTTTAAGTAAAGTCAGTTATTAGTGTGAAAAAAAATAAAAAATAAAAATAAAGTAATAATTGTCTCACCCGAGGTTCTGCCTAGTAACCGGGCCAGTCCTGCCTAATCAGCAGTGATTCTCGCGTCAAACGGTAGAGTTTTGGCATGAGGCAGGGTGGTTAGTTGGTTTCGTAGCCTTTTCAGCTCGGGTTAATAAGTCCTTAGGGGTGTTCTACACCTAGTGTCCTAAAGCCCTAGTGGTTTGGGAGTCATTGACCTAAAGCTCGCTACATGGGTTGGATCGAAAGCTTAAGTAAACCGACATTGCACGACCACTACTGTTACTAGAGAAAAAAAAATGTTATATATAAAAAAAAGTGAAAAGAAAAAAAAAAAGAAAAAGAAAGAGAGTTATATTTAAAGTTACTATGTGTGAAATAAATAAGGACGAGAGGTAAGGGTTTTAGTCGAGTCTCCTTAATTATGTTGGTTCACTTTACACCAAAGGAAGTTTGTGAATTCTTTTCTAATTGATTCTAAATGGCTTAGACTCTGTGATGGGATTGGTTGGAACTTTTGAAAAGATGTTTTAGTTTTAAAATTTGCTATGGATTGCAACTTTGAAGGTGAAAATTTTTGTCAGTTAATTTTAGCTAGTTAGTTTGTTAAGTTTTTATTTTTGTTTGAGTCTTGTTTTGCTTGAGGACAAGCAAAAAGCTAAGTTTGGGGGTATTTGATGAGTAGTTTTTATATTATATATTTTACCCTAATCTTAGTATATTTGGTTAATATATTGGAAGAATTTTGATACTTTGAATTGTATTTTCAATATAGGACTTTCGACTTCCTCTAGAGCAAAACAGGACCAAATGGACGAATTTTGGAGTAATTCCAATTGGAGGACGTTCGTGAGTCACTTAGCTTGATCGTATCAAAATTTGGGATTTTTTCACCAAGCGGTGGTTTTCTGGCGATGAAATAAAGAAGCAGTGCGCAGTGCTGGAAAGTGACGTTTTTGGGCTTAAATTGCGTTTTTGGAGCCTAAGATGACCTCGGATGGGTTCGTGACCTTCTGGAAAAGTGTTCAGAATAGTCCAAACATTAAATCCAGCTATATTGGGCCAGTTTTGGAGCAGCTTATGGGCCAAAACGTGGCTGTTCAGTTTTTAGACGAATTTTATTATTTAATTTAGGGTTTTGTTTGCTAGGGTTTGTGTGGTGGCTTAGCAAATATATTGCTTGGCCGTCTACAGTTTTGTGGTACGCTTTATTTTTATGCAATACTGGAGACAGAGAGAAGTTCTAGGGTTTTGAAGATTTTCTACTTGAAGGTGTTTTCAATCCTTTTCTTAATAGATATTTCTATGATTTCAATTATGAATATGCGGAACTAATTTCTTTTGCTAGGGCGAAGCCTTGAGCCTTAGCATGAATATGTGATTTTTATTTAATTGCTTATGATCGATTGCATGCGTACTTTGAATTGTTAATCACCGGGATAAAAACTATCTAATTGTCGTAATGCCTGATCACCATTAGGATCTTTAGAAAAGTAATTTGATGCAATTTTGGTCGGAAGGTTCCCTGAAATTGACGCTGGCTTCTTGTGATTAATAATTGTAATTTCTCTTAGGATGAATATCACGTCTTAAGGATTGCATGGTTTTTCAAAGGATTTTCATAAAGCATAATGAGTCTTTCATGTTCATATTTGATCCGAACGTCCGGACGGGTTGCATGTTAGATATACATTCTATGTTGGAGGTTCCAAGTAGAATATGAATTAGGAAAATCTAACCTTCAAAATGGCATGTGTAGATCATAAGTAATTGGTAAGAATTCATAGGATTGTTAGGTGATGGTGGAACCCTAGTGCTTTCTTAATTTGATTTCTCTCAAAACTGTTTTCTTTTCTCTCTAGTTTTAATATTACAGATTGTCTTATCATTAATTCATTAAATTCGTTTTTACTTTAAGTAGGTTATAAAATCAATCATCAAAATTTCTACTTTACAATCATTAATTGAAATCTGGTTTGTTTCGATTTATTTAATAATCCCTGTGGAGAATGACCTTGCGAGATCCATTTATACTACAATAACCTTGTGATTCTTGCAAGTAAAATAGAAGGTTTTTATCGCATTCACATGAGTAGTAAAAATCCTATCATCCTCCGTTAGATCCAAGTACTCTAAGTCTTTTCTTAGGGTCTCTTCCAAAGTTTTCCTAGGTCTTCCTCTACCCCTTCGGCCCCGAACCTCTGTTCCGTAGTCACCTCTTCGAATCGGAGCGTCAGTAGGCCTTCTTTGCACATGTCCGAACCACCGTAACCGATTTTCTCTCATCTTTCCTTCAACTTCGGCTACTCCTACTTTACCTCGGATATCCTCATTCCCAATCTTATCCTTTCTCGTGTGCCGACACATCCCACGAAGCATCCTAATATCCGCTACACCCATTTTGTGTACGTGTTGATGCTTCACCGCCCAACATTCTGTGCCATACAACATCGTTGGCCTTATTGCCGTCCTATAAAATTTTCCCTTGAGCTTTAGTGGCCTACGACGGTCACACAACACGCCGGATGCACTCTTACACTTCATCCATCCAGCTTGTATTCTATGGTTGAGATCTCCATCTAATTCTCCGTTCTCTTGCAAGATAGATCCTAGGTAGCGAAAACGGTCGCTTTTTGTGATTTTCGCTAGATTGCTCCGGTCATTAGTGTGGATAAGTATATAAGTTAACACACAAAATTAAACCCTCTTTTTATCAATTGTAGCAAAGTATGTAAATAGGGATCGTTCTAGACCGGGGATTAGGAGGGATTGCTAAACACTTGAAAACTGACTTAGAAATGTAAAAACAAAGTTTAAAGCACTATATTAGACTCAAAGAATGCAAAACTCACGTTAAAATACTAAAACGAACCAAAAGAATCAAAATAGCAACCAAACACTCAAAACTGCCTAAAAACCACTTTCTGTGCAGTTTTGGGACTCTAACTCAACTTGGACGAATTTTGGTTTCCTAGTGACCTAAAACACCTAAAAACATAAACCAACACACTTTCCAATTAATCTAGGAATTCAAAATAATTGGGGATTTGATTTGGACGAAAATAAACTTAAATGGCAGATTGTAAGAGAAACAGATTATAATACAAAGTTATGAAGAATCAATGGATGATGGAATGGCTAAGGGGTTCTTCTCCACACATGAAATATATGCAACGTAAATCAATTTCCAGTTATCAATTCGATAAGTTATGAACCTCAACACTCCAAGTTAATTAGGTCCGCTTAAATTAACCTTCAGATTTCCCTAGGATCATTGAATTGGATGAATATGCATCGCAAACAAATTATTCCTAACAAGTTCTTTATATGAACAGCATGATAAAGACACAAGTTAGAATCATTACGTTCTTTGGAAATCATAAGCATTGACAAGGCATTCGTAACTATGAAAAGCATGATACTCTTGCCAGGAATCTACTTAACACGATCGTGACTAGCGACCTTCACTACTTACGAATATAAATTCATAACGATTAGGTGAAACAAATTTATATCCTAGCATCAAATTCAAGCATGCAAATTAAGCGTGCACTCTCAATCAATATACAAGAATAAGTTCTAAATCAAATGGTTAAGCAAATTGTATTCACGACTTATGTAACAATAACTGGAAGTAATCAACTCATTTCACATATATAATCATGGTTTTGAATACACCCTTAGCCAAAAACGAAATTAGCCAATCATACTTAAAGCAAAACAAAGATTACATGAATTAGACATTAAAATCCAAAGAAAGAAAACACCTAGAATGCTCCAACTTGGCAGCAAGTGCATCCAAGATTCCTCATTTCCCTTGCTTGCGGCAGATTAGGTTATGGACAGGTTTTGGGTAGTTTTATGGTGTAGAATGGATAGGGAATGGTATGGAAAGGTTTAGGGTGAGTATGGAGGAGTGTTTGATGGTTGAAGGATGGTAGAGAACTCGGCAAAGAAGGTGGAATAAGGTGGAGTGGCTGTTATGTTTTCTGGGCACTAGAATGGTGTTTTTGGGGTGTTTTGCTGCCTAAGGTGAGTATGGACGAATTTTCTGCATGAATGATGAATATGGGAGGTTGAACCCTTTGCCAAGGGTTGTAAACATGTATA